AAATATGTTACAAAAAAAAAAAAAAAATTCTTAACAACAAAAAAATAGAAGAAAAAACAGAGCAAAAAAAAGAAGACAGAGAGATGAGAGAACTAGACGAAGAGAGAGATGTAAACAAAGATAAGAATAGATGAGAGATCTAGAGGAGAAGAGAGAAAAAAAAAGAAAAGAAAGAACTGACGTGGCTTCGTCGTTCATCTCTGCATCTAGGGCTTCATCTTCGTCTCATAATCTCATTCTATCGTTGTTCGGTTAACACTTTGACCCTTGGGCTTTTTATTTTTATTTTTATTTATTTTATTCTTTTGAATAAAAGTTCCTTATATCGTATGGTTGATCTCTCTTTTTTGTTTATTAAATTACCAAAAGTACCATATTTAGCTGAAGAAATAGAACAATCGTATTTTTTTAAACAAATATCAGTGAGGCGCGCCTAGACGCACCTCACAAAGAGGCGCAACCGAGGCGTGCGCCTAGTAAACATCAGTGAGTCTGGGATGACAACAAGCGATAAACTTAAGCTTTGAGCCTAGGCGCTCCTTTAACAACACTGCTCTAGACACGCACTCGAGTCCAGGTAACATAGTCTACGGCACATACTGTAGAGCGTGAGACTGCATCTACTAGTCATGCTTCCTCAGAGCTACCGAGTTCTTTGTCCGGGGCTGAACTTGATGCTTTCCGACATCTACTAGCACAACATTCCTCCGCTTCCACCTCTAACTTCGCTCAGACAAGTACCTCTCATTCGGCACATCAGGTTTCCACATTATCTGGTGGGCCACCCTGGATCATTGATTCAGGAGCCACTGATCACATGATTGGTATGACATCGGATTTTTCTTCGTATAGTTTATATTTTGGTAAGGATAAGGGTTGAGTGGCTGATGGCACCTTCACCTCCATTGCGGGGAAGGGCACTGTTTTTGCCTTTCCTAATCTTACCTTATCCTCTGTTCTTCATGTCCCAAAGTCTACCAATAACCTCCTTTCTGTCAGTCACATTACAAAAGGTTTGAATTGGAGTGTAACTTTTTTTCCATCTCACTGCGTGTTTCAGGACTTGGACACGGGGAAGACGATTGGAAGTGGACGTGAGGACAATGGCTTGTAGTTGCTGAACTCGAGGCCAACTTCTTATTATATTGCAAATCAATCTAGTGTTAGGACTAGCAATGTCAATATAGATCTGTTAATGCATTGGCATAATAGAATAGGTCATTTACCTCTTCTTGTTTTGAAGCACGTGCTTAGGAATAGTAATGTCAATATAGATCTGTTAATGCGTTGGCATAATAGAATAGGTCATTTACCTCTTCTTATTTTGAAGCACGTGCTTCTCTAGTTTGCTTTTGTTGAATCTTTTGAGTTAAATTGTGAAACATGCGTTCTTGCCAAACAATGTCGTGTTTCTTATCCTACTAGTATTAATGAAAATACAGCTCCTTTTCAACTTGTTCATTCTGATGTGTGGGGTCCTGAATCTACTACTTCGTTTCTTGATTTTCGTTACTTTGTTGTGTTTGTTGATGACTTTAGTCAATATACTTAGCTTTATCTTATGAAAACCAAAGATGAAGTTCATTCCATCTTTAAAACCTTTCATAGGATGGTATGTACTCAGTTTGGTTGTCCCCTCAAAATCCTTCGATCTGATAATGGAGGAGAGTTTATGTATGGTGGTCTTGCCTCTTTTTTTGCAAATAACGAGATTGTCCATCAAACCTATTGTGTCGATACACCACAACAAAACGGTGTAGTTGAAAGAAAACACCGTCATATTACGGAGGTGACCCGTTCTCTTCTAATTGGGATGGGAGTGCCTAAAAGTTATTGGGTTGATGCAACCTTAACAGCTACATACCTTATCAATCGCATGCCTTCTAAGGTTCTTGGCTATTAATCCCCCTTCTCTGTCTTACACTATCACACTGCCTTGTTTACTATCCCTCCGAAAGTGTTTGGTTATGTTTGTTATGTTCACATTCATCATTGCAAGGACAAAATGGGCCCTAAGGCAATCTGATGTGTCTTTCTTGAATACTCCGCCACTCAGAAAGGGTATCAGTGTTATAACCCTACCACTCGTCGTCGCTTTGTTTCCATGGATCTTACATTCTTTGAGTCTGTTCCTTTTTTTTCCACTGCTCAGGATTCTCTACAGGGGGAGACTACCATACAGGTAGAGAATCCGTTGTCCATTCAGAGGAAATGCCCCCTTCCTTTGCCTGTTCCCATTCAAGAGGAGCTTCTTACTGAGGTGCCTATGTCTTGTCCTCCTAACATTAATGATTTGCAGTAGGGAAAGCAGCCAATTGTCTACACTAGGAAGGGAAAATAAGTTATTGACTCACCCCAGGACCAAGAAGTCTCCCTCGATCCAGGTAATTCCTTAGTTGACATTGATACTCCTGATTCATTTCCCAATAGCATTCCTGTTGATCTTAATGTCCCTATTGCCTATCGTAAGGATGTTCGTAGTTGTACAAAGCATCCCATATCTCAGTTTGTATCCTATGATGCCTTATCTCCAACATATCGTGCTTTCACTTCGTGTATCTCCTCTATATCTGTTCCTTCTAGTGTTTCAGATGCTCTTAGTCAAACTCCATGGAAGAAAGCTATGCTTGAAGAAATGAAGGCCCTTGAGAAGAATGGTACTTGGGATATTGTTCCATTACCTATGGGTAAGAAATCAGTAGGCTACAAATGGGTTTACACAATAAAGTATCATGCAGACGGAACAATTGAGAGATATAAAGCTTGGTTAGTTGCAAAGGCCTTCACTCAGACCTATGGAATTGATTATCTGGAAACATTTGCTCCAGTTGCCAAGATGAACTCTATACGTGTTCTTCTTTCTTTGGTAGCTAGTTTGAATTGGCTCTTACATCAACTGGATGTAAATAATGCTTTCCTTCATGGTGACTTGGAGGAAGAGGTGTATATGACTATGCCACTAGGGTTTAAGCTTGCCAATGGTCAGAATTTAGTGTGCAGTCTAAATAAAGCCTTGTATGGGTTAAAGCAGTCGCCACGTGCTTGGTTTGAGAGGTTTAGAACTTCTATGAAAAGAGTTGGGTACACAGAGTCTGGCAGATCATACTCTCTTCATCAAGAAGCACCAGGGCAGCACCACTGCCCTTATTGTATATGTTGATGATATTGTTATCACTGGAAAAGACCTCGGATCATTGAGATACTCTTTTGGCATCGAGGTGTGCAAATCGAAGAAAGGGGTGTTCATTTCTCAATGGAAGTATGTATTAGATTTGTTGGCTGAAATAGGTAGGCTTGGAGCTAGACCTATTGATATTCCCATTGAGCAGAACCATAGGCTTAATGATGTAGATGGAGACCCATTAGATGATGTGGGAAGATTTCAACGATTGGTTGGGAAACTGATTTACTTATCTCTCACGCGCCCGAATATTGCCTATGTTGTTAGTGTGATTAGTCGGTTTATGCATGCTCCACGTACACCTAACCTTAAGGTAGCTCATTATGTTCTTCGCTACCTCAGGTGAGGGGATATTGTTTGGCAGTCATGGCCACTTGTGTGTTGAAGACTATATTGATGCTGATTGAGCATGGTCTGTGACAGATCGAAGATCTACTTCAGGATATTGCACATTTGTTGGAGGTAATCTTGTTTCATGGCGAAGCAAGAAATAGTCTGTAGTAGCTAGAACTAGTGTAGAGGCTGAGTTCAGATCTATGACACATGGAGTTTGTGAGTTGTTATGGCTACGTACGATGTTGGGTGAGTGGGGTTATCCTGTTCGCGAGTCAATGAAGTTGTATTGTGACAACAAGGCTGCTATTAGCATTGCCCACAATCCAGTTCAACATGACAGGACAAAGTATATTGAAGTCGATCGACACTTCATCAAGGAAAAACTTCTTCTTGGGCTGATTTGTACTCCATACGTTAATACACGTGATCAGGTTGTTTGACTAAGGGTGTGAGCAAGACTTGCTTACAAAATATGTTAGTCAAGCTGGGCATGATAGATTTCTATGCACCAGCTTGAGGGGGAGTGTTGTCAGGGGCTTATTTGTTATTACTTATATAATGTTGGGGCTTATGTGTAATTTCTGAAACTTGTTATTATAAATAGAATGTGGTGGAAGGATCAAAGAATTCTTTCATTCTTTCTCTCTTTCCCCATCTCTCTCTCTTTTTCTCTCATCCGCTTTCTTCTCTTTTACTTTTTCTTTATCATTTACTCTTGATTTGATTATATCTTAAAGTCAACAGTAATACTTCCACCATCTCACGATTGTATCATTTATATCAACTAACACCCGGGCTTAAAGGATATGTGTGGTTTGTGGGTGATTGCACATATCCGGAGTTTGCAATTCATCCGAGAGTCCAAAGTGGCTAGCAGGTGGGTTGATTCTTCGTTACCAAATATATATATATATATATATATATATATATATATATATATATTTTGATAAATAATAATTGATTAAGAAGCGCACGCGCGATTAAGAAGCGCGCGCGCGCGCATGTATATATATATATATATATATCAACTTCTGCATTTCAGCTCTGCTCATTTTATGGACATGTTCTTTAGCCACAACATTAATGTGATCTAGAAAAATTATGTTTTTCAGTCTGTTAATAGTGTGGCAGAGGATGAAGAATTTCCATACTCAAATTTGCATAGGTGGTCTAATAGTTATTTATATAATTTACCTTTAAGTTTTAGATATATAAGTCAATTACACTATATAACAGAATTACATCTCTACTTATCCCATCTTGCTCTAATTCTCTGAGCAACGCCATGTATGCTTTCCGTTCTGGTTGCCTTTGACTAAGCTTGGGAGAATGTTGTGGAATTTTCTAATTCTTTCTTATGCTTAACATGGTAGATCGTCTTTATAAATACTTTCAGATCCAACCAACTGTCTACCTATCTAATTAAACTTAATTCTATTTTGTTCTAATAGCTTCCTGTTATACTTTTTTATATCCTTGGCAGACTTTTGTTTTGGACGTTCATCCTTTCAACCCCCGGATTGCAATGAGTGCTGGGTACGACGGGAAAACCATTGTGTGGGATGTAAGTTTCTGTTCCTTACATTAATCAATGTAGGTTTTGGCTCGTAAAATCATGTTGTTTTATTATCTATTGGTGATTCTTTTTTGTTGAGTGCTTTCATGTACTGTGCTTATAGATATGGGAAGGCACACCGATTCGGATATATGAAATTGGACGCTTTAAGTTGGTCGATGGAAAGTTTTCTCCGTAAGTGATATGTAGAAAGCCTTCTAATTTTCAGTTCTTGGATTTTATTTCATTAATTTTGTTGTTGTTATTGATAATAGCTTTTCCTTTGTTATTTACATTGAAAAAGTTCTGTTGCCTGATCTAGTCCTTTCGTCTATGAAAGGTGATATATGGAAACATGGTTTATTTATATCTTCACTATTTTAATTTTAGTTTTATGATGTATAAGTTGAACATGTATTCCCTATTTTTGCTTGGTTACAAAATTTGTTCTTTGATTGATATGCTTGCACGAAGTTCCTCTTACCTGCTCAACCTAGTATAATTTTCTTTGCAATTGGTCAATATACTTTGTGAAGGATGTTTTCTACTATCACTAATATCTGTTGGATGCACACTTTCATAAGGTTTGATTGAGTATTATTAGACACTTTCATAAGGTTTGACTGAGTATTATAAGACATACCAAATATTTCTTTAAGTCCTCTAACCCTGGCCCACTGTTTTAGATGTGATGTATTTGTATCGTGCACGCAAATCACTTTTAAGAAACTTTTTCCCCCCAAGAGTTTGAATTATATTTTTGAAAGCCTTTTTATGTGGTAAATTGTAGAAACAGGAGCCCATTTAATGCAGTCTATAGGCATGCTCCAACACGCTATCTTGATCTTGCAACTATTCCCTATGGCTAATATAATCCTGTCAAGTAAGAAAGCTGAGTATTTCTTTGCTACGAAGTTAATAATTTATGAAGAAGTGTGGAAGAACCTAAAAAGGAAGAAATGAGAAGTTCAAAGCCTCTAATGATCATCACAATGTGAAGATTTCAATGAAGGGCACCTTGTCTGGGTTTAATTAAACAAAGACTGTGGTCTTCCTTTCAGTTCTTACAAAAAATTCCTAGTAGAAAAGATAGGTCCAAGCCAGGTCCTCAAGAAGATAAGTAATATTTCCTACAAATTTAAGCTACCTCCAAATATCTTTCCTCACCGTGTGATCTAGACCTAGAGGAGGGGGTGAATAGGTTTTTTTTCTCAATTGGTTTATTTTATTAACAAAAATGTGCATAATGTACAAAAAGCTAAGAGACATAACCTCTGAAACAAGAGTAGAGAAGTTCCATTCATCATTTGAAATAAGAACACTCAAAGGAGCAGTCCTCTTAAAAGGTAAGAACCTGAAAAACATGTGACCAAACTTCTGAAGAATAGGTAGGGCTGAATACCATGGATCATCATATAGACTAATAAAACAGCCTTTTCCAATCTTGTATGAAATGTTCTGTAGAATAACCTGTCTTATAGAAAGCAACTGTCTCCAAATTGTAGATTGAGAAGAAGAGGGAACTCCATACCAAAAGGAACAAAAATTTAAATTACTTTTTGGTTGGATTAGTTAACTACTTTTTGTATTTGACCAAACTTAACAAAAATTTAAATTCAAATCATAGCAGAAAATTAAAATCTACTCAATCCATCAGCCAAAACATGCAATAAACATTTTAAGCAATAAAACAATGGACATAAAAAATATAAACAAAAAATTATGTGGAAAACCCAACCTGGGAAAACCAGGGGACCTAGGTCAGATTCAATTTTTTTTCCCCCTCACATGGACATATGAATTTGTAGCTTTTAGTAAATTTATGCAGGTGCCTCTTTTTATTTATTTTAATTTCTTATTAATACTTTTTTGTTCAATCCAAATAATTAAATTATAGCCTTTGGCCTTTATGAGAGATGTTTTTTCTTTGTAACATAGGGATGGGACATCAATTGTACTTTCAGATGACGTTGGACAACTTTGTTTTCTTAACACAGGTCAAGGTGAGTCCCAGAAAGATGCCAAATATGATCAGGTATAAGAAATATTGATGCAGTGCTGTAATTAGTATTATCAGTAAATTAGGTTCTCCGCAACGTCTATATGATGGTTCTTTGTGTTTAATCTTTCCAACAGTTTTTCCTTGGGGATTATCGTCTACTTATCCGTGACACTCTTGGAAATATTCTTGATCAGGTTAGTTGACCATTTGTTGTTACACCACTGTGTTTGGTTGGGTTTATCTCCTGTGCCAGGTTTATATGTACACAAGAAGAAATGAATCGATGGAATTTCTGTTAACAGATATGATAGCCACAATTTATGGAATGACTTACCATATTAGTGTTGTTAGGGACTTATTTGGTATTACTTATATAATGTTGGGGCTTATGTGTAGTCTCTCGAGCCTACCTACTTATTTTTTATCTGTGTTCCAAATTCTATGCTCTGTTGCTGAAAGGATTGAAAAGATCCAAAGGGATTTCCTCTAGGGTGGAAGGGGCGAAGAGTTTAAGAATCATCTCGTCAGGTGGGAGCAAGTTTGCAAGCCCATCAAGTCGGGTGGTCTGGGTATCCGGAGGTTGGTTCCTTTAATCAAGCTCTCTTGGGCAAATGGTTATGGAGATTCAGCAGGGAAAGGCATTGCCCTTGGAGAAGGCTTGTTTCATGTCGTTTTGGGGAGGAGAGTGGCGGCTGGTCAACTTGTCCAGTCTCTATTGCGGGAGGAGTTGGTGTGTGGAAATTCATTCAGAAGGGTTGGGATGTTTTCTCTTCCCATATTAGATTCAAGGTTCGTGATGGTAGATATGTTCGATTTTGGGAGGATTTATGGTGCGGTGACCAGTCGCTATCCTGCACCTTTTCCACTTTGTACAGCATCGCCGCCGACAGGCATGCCTATGTAGATGACTGTTATCTGCTTGATAGCAGTGGAATTACGTGGGATGTGAGCTTTTGGCGTTCTTTTCAGGATTGGGAGATGGACGAGGTATGTGTTCTTCTGGATATGTTGTATCAGCAGGAGGCAGTTGGCAGTTGGCAGAGGTAGTGATGATATTAGGTGGATCCCCTATTCCCATGGTTGATTTGAAGTACGATCCTTGTTTCGATGCCTCTCTAACTTCGTTGGCATTGATTTTCCATGGAAGACCATATGGCGTTCTACTGCTCCACCTAGAGTGGCATTCTTTGTATGGACTGCTGTATAGGGCATTTGACGATTGATAATTTGAGGAAGAGAGGCAATTGTATTGTTAACTGGTGCATTGCCCTGGCGTACGACTGTTGGAACCTTATATTTGGCTTATTCGGTATGTTTTGGGTAATGCCTCGATCTTCTAAGTTTTTGATTAACGCATGGAGGGGATGCCGTGTGAGAAGCAGTGTTCGCGACTATTGGAGGACAGTTTCGCATTGCGTTTGGTGGTGCATTTGGAAGGAGAGGAATAACAGAATGTTCGAAGAGAAGGAGTTTTCCATGGTGACGCTGAAACTTCATATTATTCGCTCTATCTTTAGTTACGTGAAGAGGAGTTCTTGCTCCTTTTTCCGATGACTTAGTTAATTTTTTGGATTCTTTGGGTCTTTAGATCCTGGTTCCACTTTTGTTTAAGGGATGCGTTCCCTTTTGAACGCTTCTGTTGAACATGTGGCTCAATTTGAGGCTTGCATCACCAATGATGTCAAGATTCTTGGCCTCCAAGAATGTGTGCCTAGCAAGTCTTTTGAGTGGTCCCCAAGTAGCCTCATTTTGGTTTCCCATTTTGGCTATAAATAGCCTTGCCCTCCATGGTATTGAAGCATCCCAAATCAATTGAGTTTGTAATTTCAGTGAGTGAGTGTGAGAGTTTTGGGTGTAATTGAATTTTGGGTGTGAGCCACTTTGCCTTATATATCTTTATTTCAATAGTGAAATATTGTTCTGTCTTCTACCCGTGGATGTAGGCATAGCCGAAACACGTATAAATCCTTGTCTCGATTGTGTGTGTGCCTATTTTATTTTTCTTGTCATTTATTTTTCTATTGTTCTCATAAACTCCTATTCGATCATTTTTTCATAACAGCTTCTTCATCGATTATTATTTTATCAAAAAAAAAAAAAAAAAAAGAAGTAAAGAATATGGTGGAAGGATGAAAGAATTCTTTCATTCTTTCTCTCTCTCTCTTTCTCTCATCCGCGTTCTTCTCTTTTTCTTCTTCTTCTTTATCACTTACTCTTGATTATATCTTAAAGTTAACATGGTATCAGAGTATGGTTTGTAAAGCTTTAGGTGTGTAGTTGAAACCCTAGGGCAAGTTTGTGTAAACCCTAATGGGTGTGACGGGTTTTGAAGAGATTCCAAGATGGGTTTTGTTTGCAAGGAAGTAGTGTTGATCACATCCATACGTACCGCGGATCTAACTTCGTGGTGAGTTGGCTGGGGCTCGCAGGGGGCTGAGTTCAGATCCAGTGCAGAGGCTGAGTTCATATCCATGGCATATGGAGTTTGTGAGTTGTTATGGCTACATACGATGTTGGGTGAGTTGGGTTATCCTGTTCGCAAGTCAATAAAGTTGTATTGTGATAACAAGGCTGCTATTAGGATTGCCCACAATCCAGTTCAACATGACAGGACAAAGCACATTGAAGTCGATCGACACTTCATCAAGGAAAAGCTTCGTCTTGGGCTGATTTGTACTCCATACGTCAATACACTTGATCAGGTTGCTGATGTTTTGACTAAGGGTGTGAGCAAGACTTGCTTGCAAAATATATTAGTCAAGCTGGGCATGATAGATAAGTTCAGATCCATGGCACATGGAGTTTGTGAGTTGTTATGGCTACATACGATGTTAGGTGAGTTGGATTATCCTGTTCGCGAGTCAATGAAGTTGTATTGTGACAACAAGGCTGCTATCAGCATTGCCCACAATCCAATTCAACATGACAGGACAAAGCACATTGAAGTCGATCGAAAACTTCATCAAGGAAAAGCTTCGTCTTGGGTTGATTTGTACTCCTTACGTCAATACACTTGATCAGGTTGCTGATTTTTTGACTAAGGGTGTGAGCAAGACTTGCTTGCAAAATATATTAGTCACGCTGGGCATGATAGATATCTTTGCACCAGCTTGAGGGGGAGTGTTGTCAGGGGCTTATTTGTTATTACTTATATAATGTTGGGGCTTATGTGTAATTTCTAAAACTTGTTATTATAAATAGAATGTGGTGGAAGGATGAAAGAATTCTTTCATTATTTCTCTCCTTCCCCATCTCTTTCTCTTTTTTCTCATCAGCTTTCTTCTTTTTTTCTTCTTCTTTATCACTTACTCTTGATTATATCTTAAATTCAACAATTAGTAGAGATTTGATTATTCTAAATCAAATCACATCATATTCTATATGATTTGTGGCTATCAAATCTTTGCTACCAATTTCATATATGCTACCTTCATAATATGCAACGATTTTGGTAGCAGTATCTGTAATATTAGTTGTAATTGCAAATTTACTTTTACATGTATTGTGCGGGATTTTGGGATCTTGATGCATTAAGGTTATGCATCAGTGGGTGTCTGATTTCAGGTCGAAGATCTTCCAGTCGCTTTATATTATTCTATGTTTAGTAAATTTATGTTACATCTGATGCAGGAGACGCAGCTTGCTCCATACAAAAGGAATATTCAAGATCCTCTTTGCGATTCAAGTATGTTTTACAGCTTCATTTATCTATGATGGTCTTTCTAAGTCGATATTTTGATACAACACAACATCTTTTTAATGGGAAATGGCAGCTATGGTTCCCTATCCTGAACCATATCAGAGTATGTACCAGAAACTTCGGCTAGGTGCACTGGGTATTGAGTGGCGTCCTTCATCCATAAAATTTGCCACTGGCAATGATGTTGGTTTGGGCCAAGATTATCAAATTTTGACATTGGAAGACTTGAATGGAGTGATTGAGCCATTACCGGAAATTATAGATGCCATGTACTGGGAACCAGAAAATGAAGTGATAAATGATGATTCTGATTCAGAGTACAATGTTCCTGAGGAATATTTGAGTGACGGTGAGCACGAAAGTGTAAGTGCCAGCACATCTAGTGATCCAGAATGTAGTGCAGAAGACAACAAGGTTGAACAAAGTCATAAAAATGTCCTCCGAAGATCAAAAAGGAAAAGGATAAAGGCAGAAGTAAGTATTGCATTTACAAATATCAATTTCCTTTCTTGTTTGCACTGGCTTGGGATTGAGTACAATTGTTTTTCAGGGCAAGTTGATGACTTCTTCTGGGAGGCATGTTAGGAGGAGGAATTTGGATGGGAATGATGGAACCTCATCTGGGAGTAAAAGAACTAAAAAATCAAACAAAGGTCGCAAAACTTTGAAAGGAAATTCTTCGAAAGCAAAGTCACTGAGATCTCAGAGGCTTTCTGCACGCAATGCCCTGAATTTTGTCTCTCATATCACAGAAGCTTCTTCAGATGAAGAAGATGAAGGTGGCTTAGAAACTGATTCATCAGAAAGCGAGTTAATGGTGGAAGATTCGAATGTTCAGAGCCATGAACACGATATCAACTTGCAGAATGTGCAAGAGATATATTCAAAAGCTGAACAAGCATCCTTAGACTCTGAGCATACAGCAAAGCCTCCCAAATTCCTAGAATCTCAGACAAATGTTGAGAGCAGGAAAAGATTGGTCATAAAGTTTTCACTTCATAATTCTAAGAAGTCTGTGCCTTCAGCAGAGAACACCCAAACCCAGTGTCACAATCAGGCTGACTTAGCATTATCCTCTAGACTGACTCTAGAAACTCCGAAAAAAACCTGGATCAAACTAAGCTCTGAGGATTCTGAGTCATCTTCTCCAAATGCGGTTGATGTGGAGTTGTCTGCAAATCATAACATAAATAATTCTTGTGATGGAGAACATGCAAAAGTTGAGGATCAATTGGAGAAATCAGCAGATTATAGGCACCAAAAAATCAGATGGGGAGAGGTCAAAATACGCTCATCCAAGCAAATGAAATCTGAAGATCATATGACAACAGATGGAAGTACTGGATTTAATGGAAGTTTTGATGTCCATTATGGAAACACAAATGATGTCAATGACTATGTTAAACCTGGAATGGGATATGGAGACTCTTTTTCCTGTTCAGAAATCCAAAATCATGGAGGTAAGGCGTTGACTGAGGCTTACAAGAATAAGGAACAGTTTGAAACTGGTGCATTAGGGGATATGGATAGTGAAAGAGGTAAAGATTTTTGTCCTGAATGCGCGTTTCAATCTTCACTGCGGAAAACTTCACCCCTATATGATCCCCAGCAAACAGGCAGTGGTTCGGCAGCCTCTCATCATGAAAATCTCAACAAGGGATACAAAGATTGTTCTGGATCTGACATATCCCGAGGTTGTGACTTGGTTGTCATCACGAACCTCTCTCATGAAATGAAAGAGAACCCTCTACCCAAGCCAACAAAGTTAAGGATTACATCAAAGAAGATTTTGCAGGGCCCCAAAGGCCCTTTAAAACTGAAGTGTAATGTCGCAACTGGTGCCGGTGATGATTCAGCATCTGAAAGTCACCCATGCATGAAGCAGAATCTGGTTTTGGGACTACCAAGAGAGGATGAAAGCTCTGACCTACCAAGGTTGGAGAGATTAGATTCTCATTCAAACACGAAAATAAAAGATGCAGTTTACAAAGAGGATAATTCATATAGGGCTAGAACTAATCCCAAAGGTTATCATGGTGGTATCGTAGAAATCATTTCAAAAACCAGCAGCCATAATCATGATTCAGAAATCGATATCCCTGAAGCTGAAACAGATGAACTGCGTAGAACAAGATCCATAAGGTTGAAGGCAACTTCGCGGGAGACGCATGATATGGACAATATCCATAAGGTGAGGGAAGGTCATAAATCAGTGAAGACATCAAGAAGTGCTGAAAATCCCTCCAAGAGAGCATTTGCTCAGCTCCCATCAGATGAATGGATTTTAAGTCCAAAAATTACAGTCAGATCTAAGTCTACTAGAAAGAAAGGAAGTGGTTATTGTGATAATGACCCCTGTTCTTCAGCTGGGAAGAAGTCAAGTTACAAACTCAGAAAATCAAATTGGCTAATGTTGTCTGAGCAGGAAGAGGGTTTTCGTTACATTCCTCAGCTAGGTGATGAAATTGTATACTTAAGACAGGTAACTCTTCTGGTTTTTCTTTATTAACTATTCCGAACCTTTATATTTTCCCAAGTTGAAGTGATTTATGCTTACTATTCAATGATTCTCAGGGCCACCAAGAATATCTAGAGTGGAGTGAATCATCAATGGTAGGTCCATGGATATCAATCAAGGAAAACATCAGAGCTGTAGAAATTTGTTCCGTTGAAGGACTTAATTATGCAACAGTTCCGGGCTCTGGGGAGAGCTGCTGTAAACTTGCACTGAAATTTATAGATACTTCTTCTAGTGTGTTTGGTAGGACATTTAAGTTGACTTTGCCCGAACTGAGTGATTGCCCAGATTTTTTTGTTGAGAGAACATGGTATGATGCTGCAATTAGGAGAAACTGGACCTCGAGGGATAAATGCCTGGTGTGGTGGAGAGATGAGAGTGGGGAAGGGGGTAATTGGTGGGAATGTAGGATTCTATCTTCAGAGGATAAATCAAACGAGTTCCCTGGCAGTCCTTGGGAAAGATTTGTTATTCAGTACAAGAATGAAAAATGTACCCGATTACACAGTCCTTGGGAACTATATGATCCTGATAGTCCATGGGAGCAACCCCATATTAATTCTGAGATAAAAAATAAGCTGCTGTCTTTATTCACTAAATTACAGCAGTCAGCAAGTAGAAATCAGGTATTCCTTTTTTGGTTTCTATTTTCTAATTTATGCTTTTTTTGAATTGCTATGACATTTGCATGTGAGGCCTCAGTAGTTCTGATTTCGGAGTGGTAACAAATGATAGAGTTAGTGTCATTGTTTTAATTGAACCAATTGCAAATGCTGCAGGATAATCATGGGATTCTAAAATTGGAAAAAGTTGCCCAGAAATTGGATTTTGTAAACAGGTACACTTTTGTGTAGGCTCATTTTTTTTTTTTTTTTTTCAATTGCTGTGCATTTTTGTCTTGCCTTGTGTTGATATAGAGAAATCCAATGACACATGGATTGATTCTCTGACACCATGTGTCCAGCAAAGGAAAACTATGTGGCTCTGTGAGCACCTGCAATTCCCCACGATGATATTATTTCCAGGACATGTCTGGACAATGTCCAAGAGGTACAACTCTGAGGTGTAATACGCTTTAGAAACGACAATTTTGCCCTTCCCTATTGGTCCTTAAAAAAACCCACAGAGGGATGACATAGGTTTGGGGTAGGGGCCCATGCCCTGGCCCTGCCATGTTTATGTATTAAATACATGAGAAAGTCCTTTATTTTTAATTTTATTAGAGGGTTGCCTAGTTCAGCAATAAAACGCTTGAGCATCGGTTCCACTGCCGAGAGTTTGAGCTAAAAGTAGCCACTTTGTGAAATATTATAGGTTAGGTGTGTCTCAAGTCCTCCCTCCCCAGGACCCTGCTGTGGCGGGTACCAGAATTGAATGATATGCCTTTATTTTTTAATTTTATTACTAAAATATATCAAATATGTTATAGTTCTTCATTAAGTAACATTTATAGAAGCACCTTTAATGAATTATTACTAAAAAAAAGTGTTCAACATTTATAAAATTTTAAATCAGTAATTGTGTTTTTCTGGCTTGGACTTATATATACACATATATTTTATATATATATAGATATATATACATACATATATTCACGAGCGTAAAATGAGCTCTTTGACAAGTATGTTCACGAATATTCTTACAAACAAACGAGCTGAGCTCAAGCTTGTTTGAATTTGACTCATTTAATAATCGACCTTGGAAAATTATGTTTGACCTCAGTTCATTTAATAAACAAACGAACGCGAACCAAGCATTTATCGAGCTAAGCCCGAGCTGTTTGCCAATTTCTTGGTTGATTTATAGCCCTAGTCCAAAGACAAATGAGTGTACTATCCTTAATTTCCTCGCTATTTCTTTAAAGATTTGCAACCTCTGATGGGGAATGGCAAACTCGAAGTTCACAAATCATTCAATGGGTTATCTTGCGGCAGCTTCATTTTAGCATGGTTATCTAGATATGTGCTCCAGCCAGAACATGGTCCTAGGCAGGGCCTTATTCATTTAGAAATCAAGCTGGCTCATGGGATTATGATACCTTTACTTCCTCTATTTTTGGGCTTGCTGTACCATCATCTGAATATGCTGCATGAAGACATGGAAATCCCTGGGATGCTATTCTGTTATGTCCTTTTGTACTGTATTTCTACAATTGTTCTTGTTGAAAGTTTCTCTGTGGCCCCTCGCAAATTTATATGGAATCCTGAGTATAGACAGCTCAATTGGATGGGTAAGCTACAAAGAAAAGGTTGGCCCAATTTACGTGCAACGGGAGGGAATTTCATGCAAGACTGTAGGTTTTTGAACATAAGAGGTCACGGGTTCTAACCGGAAAATAGCCTCTCTGCATGTGGAGGAAAGGGTGTGTACATTTGACCTTCCCTCTTAAAAGGTTTGTACGACCAGTAAAGAAGAAGAATACTCTATTGTAAATTACACAACATCGTATAACAAAGAAGAGCAAGCAACAACTGTTTGTTTCTTGCTTTTCCAGGAAATTAAGAAACCTCCTAGAAAAACACAGTAACCAGTGGTAGACTTACGGTCCGAGGGATCCCCAGCCTAGTCGGCATCAGAAAAAGCTCAAAGCTCCAAAACTGATGTGGAACAAAACAATAAACTCTGATGCAAAGTATCCAGAAGATAGCGTAAGATACGAAGAACTGCAGCCCAGTGCACAGTAGTCGGAGAGGATACAAATTGGATGACAATGTGAATAACATTGGCAATATCAGGCCGAGTGACAATGAGATACACTAAACTGCCAACTATAACTTGATATAAAGTGGGATCAGCCAAAGGGACACCATCAGTAAGAGTATAGCGAACATTAAGCTCTAAAGGAGTCTCAACTATCCGAGTATTTGTGAGATGAGCTCTATGAATAACATCTGATGCATACTTAGAATGAGGGAGAAGGTAACCTTTGGGAGAATGAGCTACTTCAATGCCAAGAAAATAGCGAAGAGGACCAAGATCCTTCATCTCAAATTGTTGCTGCAATTTAGACTTTATAAGTGCAATATCATCACCAGTCAAAATCATGTCATCAACATACAAAAGTACAATAATACGACCAGCAGAAGTAGAGTGACGAAAAAAGAGCAGAATCATGATCACTAGGTCGAAAACCCAAAGCACAAATCACTATAGAGAACTTCTCAAACCAAGCCCTAGGTGCTTGTTTGAGACCATACAATGTCTATCTACGTCTGCACACCTCTCCAGGATTGTGAGAAAGACCAGGAGGAGGAGTCATGTATACCTCTTCAGTTAGTCTCCATTCAAAAAAGCATTTTGAACATCCACCTATGACAAACTCTGTTGGTGAATAGATGCAACAGGAAAGCAAACAGAAAAAGAAACAAGTCTTCTTACAATTGTAAGGGAGACTAGGAATACTCCAATCACCGTCGGAGCCTAGATTTCTAAAGGAAAATCTGAGAAAAGCCTTAAGAACTATCTAAAATCTGATAATAACTCAAAATATATTGATAAAGACTTGATTACAGCAGATATAGAGGGCTGTCCGTTTTATAATACTAATATTAATGACGCGACTTTTCCCAAAATGAGACTTAGAATTCCCACACAACATTAATAAGACTTTACTACTTTCCTAAGTATACTTAGTAATTCCAAAGCTTAGTAAAACAAGGACTCTTTGACTTTTCTTCAAGGCACTTTCCAAGGCACCATTGACTGCCTCAATCCTGACTAAAGTACCCTTAATGGTTTGCATCAGACCCCCCTCCTTGAAGAAAACTCGCCCTCGAGTTTGGAACAATCTACCACGATCAATGACAAGCCCGAGTAAAGTCTTCCATCCTTTCTTTCTTCTTTTCCTTGCTCGATCAAAGCACAATAAGCTTTTGTTACTGACAAAGAATAACTCTGAACAAACTTTCAGAGTTCTCTTGTGAAATCTCCAAAACTTGCTTGAAGATAAATCATGAACCAAGCCTTGAACTACTCTGATTTTTACATTGGGGCTACTCCTAGCTGTATGTCGTGCCATGAACCATTCCCAAATCAGGTTATGCATATGGAATCCATTATTTGTCAAATACATGAATGAAGAAGCTTCAGTTCTGACCAATTTTTTTAAACTTAAGCTGCAGTAATGCTTCCTGCACCACGTCCAACTGGAAGTTCAATATTTTTATCTTCAGGTTGCCGACCATGACAAGACTTTGCAGAATCTGATTTGTTATTTGTACTCACAAATACATGAGTTGTAGGTTGAACAATGACTTCTTCTTTAGCTTTGGACAAGCATCTGATTGTTTCTTTAGATTTCTCCTGTGTTCTTTTACGTGCTTTATCATCCTCTTCAACCTTATCTTCTAACATGTTGTTGGCTGCTTCTTCAGGCTTCTCCTGTTCTGCCTTAACTGACTTTATCGATAATGTGATTGTTTACAACTCTTGGACACTTGGCAGACTTGAATCTTGAATCCTCATGTGTAGGACCAAAATTCAGAATCTTTAGTATGTTTCACCATTGATGTCCATGTGCTTTGTGATCTGGCAGCTCTCTGTTTTGGACTTCTAGACTGCATATGGCAATGAAACCTCTCTCCAACAGGCTGTTTTACCACTTTTCACATTCATATGCATCCCCTTGTTGACCCCTTTGTCTCCCAATGTCCATATTAAGAGGAGAAATGATTCCATTTTGTTCTAATAGAGTGCTCAGTCGAGAAAATTGCTGAGAAATTTGATGCAAAAAGTTGATGCTGCAGGTTTGAACATCTTCTTTTGTGGATATTATACTTCCTTGCCTAGCCATAGATCCGCAACAATCACAGATCTAAGACAGAAGGCTTTGATACCACTTGAAGCAAACAGAAAAAGAAACAAGTCTTCTTACAACTGTAAAGGAGACTAGGAATACTCCAATCACCGTCGGAGCCTAGATTTCTAAAGGGAAATCTGGGAAAAGCTTTAAGAACTGTCTAAAATCTGATAATAACTCAAAATGTATTGATTAAGACTTTATTACAGCAGATATAGAGGGTTGTCCCTTTTATAATACTACTATTAATGACACTTGTCTTTTCCTAGAATGACTCTTAGAATTCCCACACGACATTAATAAGACTTTACCACTTTCCTAAGTATACTTAGTAATTCCAAAGCTTAGTAAAACAAGGACACTTTGACTTTTCTTCAAGACACTTTCTAAGGCACCGTTGACTGCCTCAATCCTGACTAAAGTACCCTTAATGATTTGCATCAAACAGCAATCAATGTGTGAACAGTTGTCATTTTGGCTACAAGAGCAAAAGTCTCCTCATAGTCAATACTATACTCCTAGGTAAATCCTCTTGATTTTATAGACCCACCTGCATCCAACTGCATGTTTGTCACGAGGATCAAGAACAACCTCCTTATAGGAGGTGGGCTCAGAAAGCAAATGAATAGATACCAAAAAAAAATATAGAAAGCATGAGAATAACAAGAATTGGAAAAATCAAAACGACCAGACACTTGTGAACATGTTGTGGATAACAAGGTGGTGCAGGATCCAAATAATCAGAAACCAATGTAGAGTTTGCCTAGAGAGATGGAGGAAATGTACCTGCATAAGGGACTTCTGTTGGAAAGTAGAAGATTTATTCCCTCCATAGGTGGATTCGTTAGGAATGTATTTTATGTGTATCATTGACTTTCCTAGAATCATGGGATAATAAGTTAGAGAATCCCACTAATATAGAAATTCATTCTAATTCATTTTTTTGGAAAGTTAGGAAGGTTAGTTTCCTACTTTATCTCCCTGTGATTAGCTCTGTATAGGTTGTAATTTGTGTATATAAGCCGTGTATTGGCTTTCTC